AGATTGAAAAACATGAGACACAAGAAAAAAATTTCAGTTCACAGTTGATTAACAAAACTCCTGGAAACAGGTCTCAGACTTGCTCAGCTGACTCTATCCCACAAACCTGGCCTCACTCAGACATCACGACAAATTCCCAGCTGCATTCAAGAACGGCGGGTTTTCATTCTTCAAATTCGAGACAAAAAGTTCGTTGCGCTTTGCACATCCAAAAAACAACTTTTCCAAAAAAGTTTATAAAAATGTACAAGTTTATGAAATGATGAAACAGAAAAACAAAACAGAAAAAAGATTCAGGGCAACTGTCTTGTGATAAACACGCAGGAAAAAGAGACCCTGAGAGTCTGAGACGCTATACTGTGAACTCACACAGTGATGTTGAGCTTCAGGTCAACAACTGCGGCATTTTTCCGATCTCGTTCTGCATCCTGATCCCTGTCCCCAGATCCTACATCATCTGTCCTGTTGTGGGGCAAAGTACTTCCGCCATCGCACGCGGCTTCTTCAGTTTGGCTATCAGCAGAAGAGCCATCTTGTTCCTCCATATTCGAGTGGACCTCCTGATATCCTCGAATGAGCATGTTCTCTGCAAAAAAAAAGGTGGTACACTGTTCAAGACCCCTTTAAAGTTCAAAGGTTTAAAGTTTAAACCCCTCAAAACTCCTTAAAACTCATTGAAAGTTAAAAACCCGTGAAAGGAGAACAAAGAGCACCTCCGGATTCTTCTTCCTAGGTACCCAAATATCGCGTGGTAAAAGCAGAAGGTACGAAAGAAGGAAAAGATTGGTGTTGCATGCACCGGTCATCATGAACGACCAGATTCAGGGACAGGTGAACGATCGTAAAAGATGGAGTAAGACACAAGTTACATAGCCGAAAACAGATAGGAACCTAGGCTACCAGAGTGGCCCGGGGCAAGTTGCCCGGCCAGGCAAATAAAAAAAAAAAAATTAATCTTTTTTTAAGTTTTTTTTTCCAAATTTGGTAAAGAATTTCGACGTGACCTCGAGGCAAAAGTTGTTCAGTTTGTTTTTGTGCAACGCATCAGGGTTGCATACCTGCTGGCCATCGACCCCGACCGCCGACCGTTTTGCAGCCAACCAGTAGGGCCAACCAGTCGGCGGTCTGCCGACCAGTCAGAAAACA